ATTGTGCCTCATCATTCTACTGTTTTCAGAGACATCAGATCTTATAAACTTCAATAAGGTTAGTTGTTTTTAAATAGAAAATATCTTCATAAGAATAAAAACTCACTTAACTGATACTGTATTTTTTAAAAAAAGATACACACACACACACACACATATATCTATATATATATATATATATATATATATATATATACACACACACACACATAATCCAATGAGTGTTGACTTTCATTAAAATGAGATTTCACATTATCAAAACAATTAAATTTAAGAAATACAAAATTCTCTGATTCACTGTCAAATCAAGTAAAAAACAAAACAATTAAATGTCCAAAAACTTAAATGCATGTCAACTTGCTTGAAACACATTTTTAACAGAATTCCACAATTTCTTTTATTGGAATTATATTTAACATTGCATATTATTTCTACCCAAGCTTTTTTAATTTTATAGTATTTTCAAATGAAAATTAGGAACAATTTGACTCAACTAATTAGTCCCATTAAACTGTAAGCTACATTAAAATTCTGTACACTATTACCACATGTAGAGTTTTTTATTTCAATAACATCTTAAACAAGGCCTATAATGGAGTAAGTTGCTGTAGTCCAACAAAATAGCAAGGCAAGGATGACCTATGGTAGTTAAGCCCTAAGTCAATAGGAATTATCTTTTCTTATATATATATATATATATATCATGCGAGTTTTATCACATATGTACAAAAAACCTTGGTAAGATAGAGTTTACTTACCTCTTTCTGATGTCACATACTCCATGGTACTAATACAAATCAAATAATTTTGGCCTTTTTTATAGAAAAAACAGTATGTTGTTTTTTAAATTATTTTCCAAGATAAAATTTGTTCAAGCCTTAAAGTTTGTAAACCTCAAATTATACTACACTTAAACAATTGTTCTAATACACCAAGGTGTTGACCTATCAATTATGATTTAACACATTGTCTATGGTAAGTCTTATTACAGTAATATCATTAGCTATTAGTATTTTAATCACTACTTAAGATACTGACTTTTCAATTTTAATTTTAAAGGTTATATGCAGATAGTGTTATTGTATAACATTGGCTATTAGCAATTTATTTGCTCAATAGTTATTAAATGAAAATGAAAATTGTGAATGGCCTTTTGGTTTAAAATTTATACAATTCTCCTTTAAAGTACATGTATTAAGTTGGTTTTGGGAATTTGAATTACTCCGATCTTTTGATTGGCAGCATATATATATAAACACCACCACTCAGTCTATCTTAGTCACTTTTTGCTTAGAAAAACAAGAGCTGTGGCACTTGAAATTCCTTAAGGTAGGATTAGAATAAATTAATCTATGAGACCTATCTTTTTTTTATTAGCTATATTTTTGTGTGACAGCAATACCAAGTGTGGGGTGCGCATATACCTGATTCGTTTTTATTACTCATCAGGATCTCTACCAGCCTACCATCAAATTGAAATTCTTTTAGGCAGGATTAAAGTAAATTAATCTATGAGACTTTGGGCATGGTCAAGTACATCAATCAAAAAGGTTTGACCTCCTGAGTCCAAAACTGTAATTAGATCTCAAATCAGTCAAGAGATGACAGAGCCATGAGCCAAAAGTTTGTACTTGAAATAAAAACTCAGAGCCATTCTATGAGCTGCTTGCCACAGTTAATAAAAAAACTAATGAAATCAAATTTAAATGTAGCCTTATATACTTATCCAACAAAATTGCAAGATAAATCAAATTAACACTAGTAACAACACACACCATATCATTAGGCAAGTGTATTCTATATCTGCATGTAGTGTTTAATAATTTAATCTTACTACTTCTAACACATAATATTCAATTAAGTGTGTATTTTCCACCTTTTCACTACACCATCTAAAGTAAAAGATACATGTCCAAACCCCTAAAGTGTATAACATCCAAATCAAGTTATCTCTAGTTCTTCCAGTTCTACTCAGCAAGTCCAAAACTTCTCTCTTACTCAAAACTTGAATTGCTTAAAACACATATCCTTCTAAAAACATATCTCTTCACTCTAACTTACCTATACCTACATATAATTTAAGAACAACAAGAGACCTCTTGCTTTATTTAAGCTATCTAGCTAAATTAAACACTTAAAGCTAACTCTTGTCATTCCAATATTTATCAAGCCTTCCCTTAAGGGAACCCATTCCAAAGGCCAACCAACCTGTTAAAAAAATGAAGCTGTTTTAGCTGAAGATGACTCCTACCGTGTAAAACTAATACTTGTGTCTTCTAGTTCTACTTCTAAACCTACCATTCTCACCATTAAGTACAAAAAATTATGACACATCAATACTATCAATTTCCTTAACAATCTTGAACATCTCAATCATATCCTTTTTTCAAGAGAAAACCATTTTAAAGATTTTAATCCATCCTTGTACTTCAGCCTTACCATCTCAAGTATCTTAGTAGCCCTCCTCTGAACCTTTTACAGCAACACAATGTCCTTCCTAAGGTAAGGAGCCAACAACTGAACACAATACTCTACATATCTAATCTTTAGCCCCCCTCTAAACCTTTGATGAAATATTATCTGGCCCAGGAGCTTATCATTCTTGGAACTTCTCATTTCTTCCTTAATAAGCTAAGAATTAATGTAATCATCTTGTTTGATCTTGTACTAGACATAGAATTAAGCTACTATCCCTACATGTTACAACTAAAAAATTTAATTTACAAAGTAAAATAAGTTCAAACTTAGGTCTATAGTAATACAAAGTAGTACTATGTTAGTATATACATTAATTTATTGACATTGAGTGAGTAACCGTAACACTAACACTGAGTCACAGTACATTTTTGTAACAACTAACATACTAAGTATCTAACATTGACTACTACTACTAGTAGTAGTAGTATAGTACTACTGGCAAACTATTGGTATGACAGATAAATTAATAATTAATTAAGTGTTTTAAGCTGTTGTTACGAGTTACAACTTATAGTGAGTTACAATACAACTTTACAAGTACAAAACTTGAAATTCAACTTTGAAATGTTCAATAAGCGGAGATGTATTTGGCATTTTTTAGAGAAATTGTTGTTAATTTCACTTTAAAGTAAATAACTAATTCTTACTTTTTAAATCCTATGCTATAAATTCAGGTATGTTTTTTCGTACCCTGAAAACCGCACCATCACAAATAGTATTATTAACTAATAGTATCATAACACCAGAAAATACTACAGAGAATTACACACCACTGTTTACATCTTGACAAATTGAAAAGCACGACTTGATAGTTGTTAACAAAAGCGCCCTCTGATAGATGTGAATTAATTGCCTGGGTAGTTGTTTTTCATAAGTCGAAGATTACTTACTTTTTTTTTCTTTTAATTACAGTAAGAATTGATGTTTATCAAGATTTATTTGTGTTATTGAGGTTCAATATTTTAACTGTGCTAGTACTAAACATGTGTATTGCAACATCTTTCAAAATGGCATAAATAAGAATGAAATTAAAAAGGTCAAGAAATTGTAATACTGTATTGGCAACGTTTTTGCCAGAATAAAAATCAAACATTACAAATTATGGTTCTATTCCATAATATAGAATAAAAAACAATAAGCAGAATCTGCAAGTTGACAAAAACATTGAAAATACCCAATCAACGGGAGTTTCACCTTTTGCATTGTGAAAATACGACGCAGTTATGCTTTGTTTTGATAATTATGTAACTTTCTCTGGATTGTGCAAACTATTTCTGTGCACTCTTTACTTCTATTGTATTGTCACGCAGTAGTATATACCTTTTTTCTGTATTAAAATATTTTATTTGCAGACATATGTAAATTTAATAAGTTTTCCCCTGCAAACCTCGTTGCTTAATATGTTATTTGAATAACATAACAAATGATTAAAACGCTAGACGTAATAGTTTTTGTTTTGTTTTTTAAATAATGCAGAAACATTTAGCAATTAGATTAAATTCTATCAGTAAATTGTAATGTTATAATTTTAAAATAAATCAATTTAGGAGAATTTTTCATTTACAGCTGTGTGAAAAACTTACACTGTCATGGTAAAATTGAATGTTAGAGTAGTTGCAATAATATCCATTTTTAGAATAATTACTTCGAATTTCTGAAAATACTTAAACTTCAGGAAGATGATTTTTATTCCTAAAATTTCAGCTGAGATGAGTCTGTTATAATTCAAATAACTGTATTTGTTTGTTTGAATTTAAACACCAAACTACACAATGGGCTATCTGTGTTCTGCCCACCACGGGTATGGAAACCCGTGTTGCGTCAGCGAGATCACGTGATTATTCTCACGCCCTCTGCTTTCTAGAACTATCCTGTAACTTGGCGAATGCTCTAGAATTTACTAGATATAGGGTAGTCTGGTATATAAAAGAGGGTGACAACGTGACAGAATAATGTGTGTGTAGAAAGTGTGTAAATGAACTGCAGTCAGAAGTATTGTTGACGTTCGTTTGTTATGGAGCGACTGTTGAAAATAAGTGTATCGTAAAGTTGTATTCGGAAAGAATAAACCAGTTTTATGAAGTAAGGACTTGTGTCGCTAAAGTTTCGTCGGAACGAAGTTACGGAAAGTTAATTAACAAACGGAGACGTAACAAATTGGTGTCAGAGAGTGGGATAGAAAAAAAAAGAGAAG